TGTAGATTTGTTTGTTTCATCCTGCTTTTTTGTTTTATTTGGCTATGTCTCAGCAGTCGGGCTGTGTGTTCTTTGTTGTCTGCTCATCTGTGGGCACGATACTTTTCCACTCCTCCAACTGGCAGGGTCAGTTGCTCTGATATGGTACAGCAGGGCAGGTCTAGCTAAAGAGGAGTTGCTGGGATGGGTTGTTTGTGGCATGTACTACGGCCACCAGGGCAGGCTGGGAATCAGTGCAGGGCAGGTTTCGGTAGGCCGTGTCTGGGCTAGTTGGTGGTTTGATGTTCAGTGCATGGTCCAGGTAGGCAGGATGAAGGGGGGAGATTGTGATGTGTGGAGCTAAGATGGGTATGGGAGAGAAGAGAGAGGAATAGGAGCTGAAAACATACAAACAAACAAAAGAGAGTGCTAGGGAGCTTGCTGGTGGAGTGGAGAGACGAGAGACTGAGAAATGGAGAAGAAGAAAAAAAGAAAAGAAAAGAAAAAAATGAAGAAATAAAAATTAGAAAGAAAAGAAAAGCCCCCAGGGATCCCACTGGTGCAGCTGCAAGGTCTGGGGAAGCTGCTCCCAGGCCATGTAGTACAGCCTGGCTAGAAGTGGTAGAGGTGTCACTCAGCGCCAGGTATTCAGGAGACAAGAAGAGAAGGTAAATACGGACAGACGAGAAACTGAGTAATGAAGAAAGACAAAAAGGGAAAAAGAGAGAAAACAAAACAAACAAATAAAAAAAGGACAAGAAAAAAACTAAGAAAAAAGAAATGCGCTCAGGGATCCCTCTGCACATCTGTGCAAACTGAGGAGGTAGGATCCAAGCCACGCAGTACTGCCTAGCTAGAACAGCCTCCCAATTTGAGAAAAGAAAAAGAAAACAAACAAACAATTCAAAATGGACAAACAAAAAAAATCCCCGGGATCCCACCAGCATGGTAGCATGGACAGGGAAGGAGTTTCACATTCGAGTGGCATTTTACAGCCTTTCAAGAAGAAGCAAAGATGGCGCAGGGAGTCAGGTATTTGAGAGAAAGGAGCAGGAGGTGGTGAGAGGTATGGAAGAAATCAAAAGAAGCAGAAAAAAGCAACACCAGCAGCCAACAAATGGCACTTAGGGAGCTGGCCAGTGCAGGTGGGTGGAATCCAAGAGACACTGGGGTGAAGCTGGTGCTTCCCGGCTGAGAGACTGTGGCC